CTTCACAGCAAAAACACTGTGAAGGTTTTAAAAAGTTACCTTCACAGCATTTTGCTGTGAAGTTTCAAGTGTAAAATGTTGGTCTCACGGGTCTCACGAAAACAGGCTGATCTCACATGATCCCAAGTCTATATATATATATATATATATATATATATATATATATGGAATTGACAAAGTTATCTTTTGTTTGCAAACACATTGATAGTACTCTGAAATCTTATAATTCTTTTCCTCTATGTATGATTTTGTGAAATAAGTTTATGTATGGAATTGGCAAAGTTATCTTTTGTTGCACATTTTACTTCTTAATAGATTATACTAGGTGTCTATCCACGCAATGCAGCGGGATGTAAAAAGCTCGTTAAGATTATTCAATTTTGAGATATCAAATTCCTTTAAAGATGTAACAAAGTCTACTACATTTGTATTGATCTAATTTTGATTCAAATATACATTCATCCATCCAAAATGTTGGTGTTAGTAGGATCTACAATTATTCATAAACTCATAATCACAATCCGAATGACTAGAGTGGTGGAGCAAGATACAAGCATTTGCCAAGGATCGGAGCGGTGGAGCAAGATACTTGACCCGATTCACAACTCATCTCAAATATATTGAATCAAAGAAACCCTTAAAAGCAAATGAGTTTGTTAATGTATACAAATACTGTAAATGTAGATTTGGAGCTCCGAAATGTCAATCTTTAAAATAAGCAGCTAGCTCAAACCCTAGTAGTAAAATGGAAAGCCAAATGAAGACTTTTATACAAGTATAAAAATGTGTGGAAGTTATAAGGGTGTCGGTGCGACCGGAGGAGAGACGACGAGGAACGGCGGAGGAGAGGAAGAATGTAGCTGGGGCAATGGAGGTGATTAGGAAAAATCAATCGTGAATTATGAAAATATGAGGTTTACATTTGAAATTCGAAATGGTAAAGAGTTTATTATGGTAAGATGAAAATCTTGGGAACATAAAGGGTCAAAATTTGAAAGGGCCGGGTAGATGGTTTAAATTTTCAATGTCTATTGGAAACCAAAACTAAATATGAGAAAGATAAATTTAAAAGTATGAGTTGTAAAAGATGAAGTATTGTTGAGTCGTATCAAATGCATAAATGACTTGTAGTTAAGATTTTTAAGACTTTATGCATAAAAAAAACAGTACCTTATGCATTTAAAGTTGTTTTTAAGACTTTTATCAAATATGCTTTATAAGGTAGTATAGATAATTTGGGTATAAAATGACTATTAAACCTCTTTTCAGAGAATTGTGTTGCTGAATGATCAACACACGCGTATTTATAGGCATCAACTAAATTACTTAGGCAACCACTTTTTCACACGAACAAAATGTCAATATGTTTTGTACGCTCATGAAAAGTAGGATCATTGGCAATCTGTTAGGCCGATTTATTTTCACAAAACATTGAAATTGTCAATATGCTTGTTCCTTTAAATAAACAATTATTAATAAGCTTTAGATTGCTGAAAACCTTTCAAAATCATGAACTCTAAGAACTTGGTATTCCATTGTCGAGAAGCTTGTTTAAGCCCGTATATGGACTTATGAAAAGTCGACAAGCAAGCTTCACGTTGTAGGAAACTCCTCCTTAATCGAATAACCAGGAGGTACGTCCATGTAAACTTCCTCATGTAAATCACCATTGAGGAATGCGTTATTAACGTCGAGTTGAATTAATGGACACCATCGAATAGCTGCAACAGCACTAAGAGTTTTAACAGATACCGATTTAATTAGCAAGCGGAGAAAAGTATGAACAAAATCTACGCCGCCTTCTTGTTGTTGATGGAAATCTTTGGCCATCAAACGTGCTTTGTGACGTTCAACATTAATTACCATTAGGTCCATTTTTTAACTTGCAAATCCATCGGCACCCAATATTATAGTGTGTTTGTCATTTGATAATGGCACTTATCATACTTACACATGCATGGCTTAATCTTTGAGACAAGCATATGACTACTGGCAGGATCAATCAGGTAGCATTCCTCTTGTTTAACGGTAAGAGCACCACTTTACTTACCTTATTGGGTAACATACTTGACAATCAAAATGGGTTGTTGGTAAACGTCTTAATCCAATAAGTGTTTATCGGGTAAGGGTCATTTCCCTCTCTTACTGAATAAGACTTTCGGTCCCTTCTATACCTCTTACCGGATAAGATTCTCGTTTCTAGTCATGCTCAATCGGTAAGGTAATTGAAACACGCTTACCCGATAACCTTACCTGTCTCGTTCATGCACAAGCCATGCAAGATGTTCTTGCAATTGGAGATTTGGACGTAAAGATGCAAAATGGATCTAATTTTGGGATCAGTATACTATTGAGCTTGTCCAAGTCCAATAGAACCAGTTTAGGCCCAATTAGGACCAATGATTTTGTTTGGTCTTGAAAATGAATTTGGCCCAAAGCCTAGCTTAGGCCCAAGCCCTACCATTTTGTTAATTCCTTTTATGTATTTTTTTTATTTCATTTGTGAACTTCACTAAAAATAAAAATAAATAAAATCTCTAAATTATTGTTAAAAATAAAATACGTTATAGTTGTTAGATTTAGGTAAAAACGACCGCCACAAGAGTAGTCACGCCATCGCTTGTTCGATAGAAACCTTTTGTATAAGAATTTCTCGTCATATTTCAAGAAACGTGATCTTTTATAAGAATACTATGGAGTTGTTTGATTGTTTTTTCATTGAATCATATATGGATAAAGTTGTCTGCGTACTGTGTAGATTAGTCTAAAATGTACTTTGTTGTACTGAATGAACTATCTGAATAATCTAAAAAACTATTTTACCCTTGGTGAATATTTTTGTTACAGAGGATTACATCAATTCAGTTTTGTCATTCATGAGCATAAATAACTTCTATCAAACATTATAAGCTAAAATCCGAACATCCTTAACGAAGATGAAAAACAGTGATCCCCTTCGTCCCACAAGTTCAGTAAACAATAACCAAGCAAGAATGAGGTCTGAATCAGCACCAACCACAGACCGATTAAGAGTCCCTCACTTGGCTTATCAAGTCAACACCCGGTGGACAGATAAGAGGGGCTTCGTAAACAACAATATATCCAATCAGGTAAGCGGGTAGTAAATGACCCCGAATAATGCATAATGTATTGTTGCTTTATTCGAGAGAAAAAAATGCCATATCTCAACATCTGGTACCGCACTTTTAGCAAATCAAGTTGCATATATATCGACAAACCTTTACACTGATCGGAAATTAGCCACATTCATAACAAGATAGGCATATATATATATATATATATATCTTTATATGCTCTAACATCAACCATGAATGCAAAAGATGTACACAAACAGCAATCATTGCTCTGGATTTTACCCAAAAAGTTGGTCCCAGAAGTGGTACAAATATTGCCCAAAATAAAGGGCAAAAATTAAGACTATAAACCATCTCCTGAACCCAAAGGGACTAATAACACATAAAACACCCTTCTGACCTTTCTTCTTCACTATCAACTCAAATGTGTTCTTCACTATTAACTCAAAATCTCAAAGGTTTTTCCCAAATGTACCCTTGACCTCATAAAGATGAGCCAAGTTTACAGTCCTTAACCATCTCTGTAAGATAAACTTTACAACAATGTGAAAAGGGGTTGGATTCCAACCAAAGAATAAGAACTAAGAATCTCATGCTTTCATTGTATGGTTTGAGAAAAGGTCTATCATGGTGTCTAGGGTCTCTGGTAAGAATTTTCTTGCAAATAAGTAACACGGTCGGTTTATCCCATTCCACAGGCAAGGCATGATCATGATTTCCTTCTGCATAATTGGAAAAAAGGGATGTTTTTAGCTTTCTATAAATCGAAAAGAATCGCGACAGAAGGGGGAGAAGAGATGCATACCCTTACGTCGCTTGTAACATGAACACTTTCGGTGATGGACTGCAAGAATAGCACAACCATAATAAGTCGAATCCATTAATCTAAGTGGTTTTCACTATTAAACTGACAAGGAAACATGGTAACTTTGTACGTATGCTGTAAACTTGAAATTTAAGGGATTATGCATTATTAAGCGATATCTAATGATCAATAAGTTGATTTAAGATTTTTACCTAAATGCTTTATAGACTCGAGTTCAATGGAAAACCACAAAAAAAGGAAAAATGATGAACACCCTATTAGCCATTCATTTGTACGGTATGCACATGTGCATAAAAGTAACTGAAAGTGCTTCATGATTTCTACGCGTGCATAGTATAGATAATGGTTACTAGGGTGTTCCTTAGTTTTCCATTTTTTGTGGTTTTCTCCCGAACCTGACCCGTGTTTTATAATTCCGTATAGACATACATGTATATAAATGCACCCTCCATCTCACCAATTTTTAGAATCAAACCCAATCTCTATGCATCCCACTTCCCACCCCCTTGCATCAAATATTATCATCTTGAGACTATATTTATACAAAACATGCCTGAATTCTTGTTCCTAAACCAGAAGTGACAAGATCCTCATATTGTGCAATAATACTCTAGTTGTGGAACGAAGGCGGTCATGCATAATCTTGTAAGGTTCAAATGAAAACTATAAATACTTTGAGAACCAGGGAACCAACTATTTCATGTATTATTCATGATGAATAGCCCTAAGTACTTGTGAATAATATTCCTTATGCATAATTTTCGTGATGAATAGTAGGTCTAAATGTTCCCAAAATATTTTCTGTTTTTATTTGAAGCTGCCCCTAATCTTGTAATGCAGCAGGATAAAGAGCCATACCGTTATATTTTTTAGGAGCTCTACGGAAACATCCTTCGCCCCGTAAGATTTTGGATGCCATTTTCCTTCAGACCAATCAACATGCGTCACCGACCAATTTGCAATCCCATTGGGATCATGCATCTGAACATATAAAGAGAGATAAGTCATAAGAACCACAGAAGTTTGTAAACCAGAAAGTGGGAACCCTGATCTACCAAGGCTCGTCATCTTTATCGAACCCATGACCTTCTGATCACAAGTGGAATGATCTCATTTGCTTATCCAAGGCCCACCAAATGTATACGAATAAAGGGAGAAAACCGAAGTCGTAAATGTTCTCACATGGAAAAATGTTGGCAAGTAGTGTTCATCGGAATAGCAATTGCGTCCATCCATCATGGCAGGCTGTAACACAAGACATATATGAAGCTAGTCAATAAATCAGCAGTGAAAAAATTCACAATACTCAGAAGTAGATCTAAAATATGTGATTCAAGACATGAGTACAGCAAAATAAATTTTTGGGTGTTTTTCTTTCTCCGTTCTTTATTTATCTATGCAACATTTTTTGGGTCTTTTTCAAAAGATTTTTCTTTATCAACGGCTCCTACTTGTTATCTTGATAAAAAAAAAATTGATGCTTGAAATAATTGGATGAGAAGAAACAAAAAACCAACAATAAATCACTAATCTTACATAAACCATTGAATAAATATAAACTCACCCTGCAATGATCTCGGAACTTCGCATAATAGAGACTATCAGCCATAACTATGACTGCATGTTGGCGCTTCATCGTGAACCACTGCAGAAAATTCAACATTAAAGAACTCAATCGTTATTAAGCCCTTTTTGACAAAGAAGTGCATCAATAGAAATGATAAGAGAGTTATAGAAGGTGTATATACAGAAGGAAAGTATAAACTTTAAAATTTGATAAGACGTCTACGGATCTAAAACTTTATAATTGTACCTGAGCACCCTTCCTGAAGAATTTCTTCTCAACTTCAGGTAACATATGGTCGATGTACCTGCCACTTCCATGTGGGCCTGGATCCTCGAAGCTGGAAAGAACATGAAATAACGTTATTAAGAAGTAACGGTTCTTGAAAGAAAAAAAGAAACATCAAAACAGTGTAAATCAATGTGGATTTCCCCTCCCTTCCAAGAAAAGAACAAGATTGTATTTTTTACATAAAACCTAAACCATATTACCTTTTAACACTAGAATTATCACATTCGTTGATTTATCCAATATAAGTTCAAAAATGTTGTATTTGATTTGGTACATACCTGTCAATGAAGCTGATATTTGTGTACATAAGATAATTGTACACATAGTCGAAATCCCGCAAGGGTACACAGCTGAAATACAAAGAAGAAACAAAATTTTCACAGCAAAATCATAGACCAAGAAACAAGAGAGAACGAGAGCGAGAGGGAAACCTGTCAGAAAGCAATACAAAGTGTTGATTGTCAGGATCCTTGAGCGCATTTGCCAACAGTCTTTTCTCTGCATCAACCATTGAAATTTTCCCCCAATCTACCTGCCAAACAGATTCATATAATAATTTAAGATATTGAGTTCATGTAGTGATACAACTATAAATATGGTTTTGCTTATTCTATAATAATAACAGTTGAAGTAGCCAAGTCGGGTTCGCTCAAGTTGTTGAAAGTTGGGTTTGTTTGGCAAGCGGGGCAGGACAGGACAACGGTACAACATTAAACTGCGATAGAAGAGGACTGAGTGGTCCCACTGAAATAGGTGGTTACAAAATCAAAAAGATGGGACAAGATTGGTAAATTACTAAACTACCCATGTCAAATCAAAACCCTAAAACCTTCCACAATTATTTTACCTGCCCACCTGACTCTTGCCTCTCCTCATCCCATCTGTGTACCAAAGCAATTCACTTCCTAAGGTGTGGTTGCTCAGTTCATAATAGCGTTGGGTTGCCCTCGGGCGTGTAGCTCAGTTGGTAAAGGGGCGGAGTGACTTTGCTCAAATATACAACAGGTTCAAGTTTGAATCCTGCAGGCTGCAGGAGGCGAGCTTGAACCCCTCTGCTAGCCTCTGCCGCTTAATAAGCTCTGAAATGCCTCCTCACATGTGGTTCCTAGGGGCAGGTTTCTTGTGGGGCTGGTCAGGGTTGCCGGTAATCAACCTTTTGCTCAAAAAATAGTCTTAGATTAACCATTTTAAGCCTACAATATGTTTAATTAGCAAGAATATATGGGTCTGGATTTGGATTTGGTACATCATGCCAATATAATTGGTTGGATGACAATGGGTTTTGGATCTATATTTTCACATAACATTTATTCACTTTCATCGCTCGAATAAGATTTTCCATGACCAGTAAAGGTTTAGCATCTACTTATTCATACTTAGTTTGTTCCAAGCCACAATAAAAACAATGGCATGCATCACTTTGAGCAACTTCCGCCTCCCAAAATTCTATTCACATTCCCTTTCTATTCCCTATTATTTACTTATTTATGTCTTAGATTGATGAAAAGGTTAGAAATAGGACAAGAATGAAATAAACAAAAGCTTGCTGAATCTTGTGTGACCAAAAGGTTCCATTGAAGCTTAAAAGTAAGTTCTTTATGGTGATGATCATTTACACGGCAAAATGTTTGGCCAATAAAAGATGGAGCTTAGCAAATGTGTGAATGTTGAAGTAGACGTATGGCCACACAAAGAGGAACAACATAAAGTATGAAGATACGCGGAGGATTGCAATGAAAATGTATTAAGCATCAAAGCAACGTAACTTAATATGGTTTAGCTATCACCATTTAGTAATTTCATTTGGGTACAGTTTTGGCCTACCCCAACTAGTTTGGAAATTGGAATAAATGGATTTGTTGAAATGTATATCTAAGACTAAAATGTAGACATTCGTTGAAAAAATGATCGATACGGAGAAAAAGGCAAGCAAGAAGCAAGAAAAAAAGACCAAGCAATTTACACTTCACATTTAAAAGGAAAAAAAAACAAGACATGAAGAAGAATGGCATCGAAATAAGTTATAAAAACGAACCTTGCCACTGCGAACTTCCCGATTGACAAAGTAACGGCTAGTGTGGACTGGTTTTTCTCTAGATGCGTGAATATGAACTGAAAATCTACCTTCATGGCCCTGTATATAAAAGAAAGTGTCAATACATAACATCTATGCATATCGTACCAAATGTGCAGTTAGCAAATGGTCATACTTAAACACCCAAACCTACAAGATGAATAATATGAAATCGTATATGTTATTGTACAATCTCATAAGTCACTAGCTAGCTGAGGCACAAATATCGACATATTTCAGCCATTTCATTAATAGATTTTAGTTAGAGTTCTATGGGAAAAAAGAACTTCAAATCTTAACTAACCTCACTCTAGATTTCGAAAACCAAATGCAGTTTCAAAAGTGAAGGGCAAATGGCCATCACGTACCTGAAAAAATTTGTCCCATAACTTCTCGAATGGTAATGATCCAGGGCTCAAGAACATGAAAGCAATCTTGGGATTTTTTGACTCAATTGGAGGTGCGTTCAAAATGCTACTAATTACCACATGAGAAGCAATCTCGTCATCAGTGAATTCTCTTACAGGAGGCGGAAGCCAACTGGTAAATGTATTACAACCAGAAGACGAGAAGACATAGCAGGCACCAGATGTTTGAGGTGGATAAATATAGGCAACAACTAAGAACACACAAACCAATGAAACCAATACGATAATCCAAGTTGGCTTTTTTAATGGAGCACGATGGCGAGGCGGAGGCAAGATCTGCATGTCTTTCATGCCCAAACCCCACGCCTTGGCTAACTTCATTTAGATATTATGCATCACAAGTTTATATCCACAGGAATAGTCCTTTTTCCAACAATGAGCACCAAGCTCAAAACTATAAAGAAACAGCCCACCAGGTGACTTCAAATTCAGGAATTATCTGAACCTGAAAACAAGAAAATATCATTATCGAATCTGTCAAACCTGAAAACTACATCACACCAAATTTGATGTTAGAACATTTATTTATAAATCTTTAAGTTCCGGATCAGTTCAATCAAAGAGGGAGCTAAAATGCTAGGTAGGTAAGAAACTTCTGCTTCAAAGAAAATAGATCTCTAAATATTGTGAAAGTGAAAAGGTTGGATAGAAGTGGCTTTAAAATATCCATCTAAATTCTTGATTTTTGATCTGGGAAAACAAGAACTAGATGGAAAATTTCTGATCCCAAAGATGAAAATAAATCAAACACCACTCTTGAAATTCTCTGATCCCAAAGATGAAAATAAATCAAACGCCATTCTTGACTGGTAAGAATCAATGGAAGGCTCAAATTCAATCGGGTTTCAAGTCTTAAATCATTTAACTAAATTAAATAAGATTAGGCATACACCCTTTTAACCTATCATCCCTTTGAAGCATATAATCCAAGAAGAAGATCCTTCAAGCAACAAGAATCTTAAAAGAGCAGCAATTCAACAAGAAAATTTAAATAAATATATGAAAGGGGTAAATGGGATCAAAGAGACAGATGCCTTCCTAACCAAAAAAAGCAACTCATATTTCCTACAAATTATAGAAAGATGAAAGTCAGACCTACCATTCTAAGTCAACTCCAAATCCAACTCCCAACACAGACATGCCTACATAAACACGAAACATTCATGGCTTCAAATCCCTAATTGCCACACCCAACACACGTGTTTGCTCACACACATTCACACACATATGTATGCATATAACACCTGCTTTGAAGCATTGAGCCAAAACCCAGAAAAAGATCAAATCTTTATACCAAATTGCACACTCATTGAGCATTGAACGTTTCAAGATGAAATCTAATTAATATAAATCGAAATTAGAACTCCCATAAAATTGGGGATTATACAAAAATCACGTTAAATTTAAAGATACCTGATTCACGCGATATTTTATCTGAATCGCCTCTTTTTTCGAATCAGTCTTCAATGAGAAAGGATCGCTCAAATGGGTTTTAAGATCTGAAAATACCAAAAACAAGTCGAAGGAAGAGGGTTATCTGTAATTTCTCAAAGATGGGTGTGTGTGTGTGTATATGTATATATATATATTGATTGGACCAACTTGGGCTGAGGTGGGTAAGTCGACTCGTCCCTCTTCCCTCTTCCCTCTTCCCTCTCTGTGTCTATGTAAAATGTATCTGTATGATTGCTGCTCTGCTGCTGCCGCTGTGCGTGTTTTAATAGGGAAACGAAGCACAATAATATTTCGGCCGGCGAATTTTGGGACAATCGAGTTTGTGTTATGTTTGTTTTCTACGACTTTAGGATGAATAATTACCAGGATAAAGATTAAACCCCCTTCGTAAATTGAACCAATGGCATTCGATTATGGGAGGTTAGTCAGATGTATGACTTGTCAAAATTCAAGATTCAAAGGTTTTTATTATATATTAGTTGACAAGTTTTGGAATTTGAACATGAAAGTGTAAACCTTTAAGGGATGTGAAGGTTGAAACTTGAAAGAGTCCAAATTTGTGCTCTAAATTTAAATTTGACCAAGAAATTTCAAGAACTTAAAAGTAACACGACTCTTAACTAATTTTTTTTTATATTAGATTGGACTTGATCGTAACTTGGTTCTTCATCGACGTGCATGGCCTAACCTAATTCGCGTGGATATGGTTGGTTTTAAGTTCCTAGTTCTATACATGTGGTATGAAGTTAAGGTTTCAAGTAAAGAAATTAATGATGTGTGTCGATTTTGGGTTCATGTTTTGGATTTAATCCACCACTGACTTATGGAGAACCAATTGCATTATGATCATAGGTTTATTGGGAAGCTTAACTACCCCAGGTTTAGATTTTGAGTTATTTATCATAGAGCACAGATATTTTTGTTCTACACTTCAAGTATTTTGTTGGAGTATTCAACTTTTTTCTAGTATATGGTTTGGACAACTCTTTCGCCCAGCGCTAACGCAACCGACACATGGTTGATTTGGTTTGTACATAAGTTTTCAATCCAAATCTCGACATATCAACCAACCAAAAAGCTAGCCCCTAAATATGCTAAGTGAACAAGTCGAACGTTGTTTTCAAGTAATCAAACAGAAGGAAAAAAGACTCATAACTAATCTTGTGGTGTTTACACCTCTCGCCTGTCAAAGTAATATTCAAAAAGTTCATCCTATTTAATCTATTCATATTACTTATTATAAAGCATTGAGAGTACATCACTCCGTATTTGGTCAAGAATAATCGCTTTTAAACTTGTACACTCTAAAATTAGTTTTTTCTTGTACTCAAGAAACAACATAGAAAGAAAGACCTTTCAGCATGATTAAAAAAGTCCCGTTAGATAATAGTTTTATAAAATATAATTGAACTTAAATCATCCCTTAAATCTTTAAGTATATATACAAATTTTATACCGGTGTCTTTAACTTTAAGCTAGTAGAGTCATAATGTTTATTTAGCACATTTTAAATCTAACTTTTTTAAATGAGTAGTTATTATTTATTTTTGGGTAAATTATGGATTTGGTCCCTATAGTTCTGAGTTTTTGTCTTGAATTTGTTCCCAAAAGTTTTTAATTCCAAAATAGGCTCAGAGTTTGTATTTTCGTGAAGTTTTGGCCCTTGTCACTGACGAAAGTTAACTGGTATATGTTAAGTGTAGACCATTCCTGTCTTTTTAATCTATTTTTTCGCTTTCCTTCTTTGTTTTATTAAAATTTTCTTTATAATTTATACGACCTACCTTAGCCACCCTTAACCTCCCCCCCCCCCTACAAACACATATGTCACATTTGTCCCCCTTTTTCCTTCTCAGTGAACCACCACCCCTACCCTTCCCTTCTCCTTCCTCCACCAACTTCGGTCATGTCTCAATAGAAAACTCATCACTACCACCTTAACTGAAACGAACACCACCTCCTCAAAACCACTGGTCCTCCCCACACTTGCCCTGAATGTCGTTACACCCTTTTCCCACTTCATTTTTTTTTTTTATGAACAACCCTGTTTTTTAAGTCGGTGTATTTGATGAACGAAATGAAAACCTAGAAACCCATATTTAGACACAGGTAAAACCGTAAAAGCCAAAATCAAAAGCTAGATTGATCGCCTACGCGGCTGGAACCAAATGAAATATTACGAATTTGATCCATCTCAATTTGGTGATGTTTGTATAACATGGGTTTGCGTATTGAAATTTGAGTTTTGGTGATTAAGGTTAAAGTTTGAGTTTGATATTTATCTTGATTTTGAGGTTTTGATTTGAGTTTGATTTTTGAGTTTTTGATGTGTGTATGTGTGTATAATGGCGTTTGGTGGTCTGAGACAGCAACTGACTGGTGAAGATGGTCCGAGAAAGGATATGGTCGGAGAAGATAAAGAGCGACAGTGGTGTCTTGTTTCGAAAGGAAGAAGGCGAGGGTGGGGTGGGGGTAATATATATTTATGTTTTTATTGAATGATAAAATAAGAAAAAGATTGACAAATGACCAAAATGCCCATAATTTAACGGGGCTTTTTAACTGTCGTTAGTGCCAAGGACCAAAAGGTTATAAAAATGCAAACCTTAGGAGCTATTTTTGGATTAAAAAGAACCTTGAGAACCAAATCCAAGACAAACTAAAAACCACGTTAACCAAATCTGTAATTTTCTCTTTATTTTTTATTATAGTTCTGAAGGTATCTTATTTATTTATTACTATAAATATTTTAAATATTTAAACAACAATAAAAAAAAATTCAAGATATTATATGTCAAAATAGAAGTTGAACTGTTTTGTGAAAACCCTGAAATTGTAATTTCGAATTTGAAGATAAAAGAAAAGGGAATAAAATAATTTTTTAATATGTCTTTTTAAGAGGGAAGAAAATAAAGAAAATAAATTTTCATATTTTTTTAATAGGAAAACAAGTAAAGAAAATATATTATTTTCATAAATATATTAAAAACTTATCCTTTAAAAAGTATGTAAAGCGGTTTTGTAATTTTAATTTTAAGGGATTTTAATTTATTTCTTTTCATTTCTGTATATATTTGGGAGAAAACTTATTATTATTTTTTTTTCATTTACTTTTTCTTTATCTCTTAAAAGAGTTTTAAAAATATAAGTTTCTTTATTTTCCTTACTTTTTTCTTCGTAATAAACGTATTTTATAATTGATTTAGGAATTTTTGTTAGCAGATTAATTAGTTTAATATGATTCGTAATTTATTCGGTCAACTATACATGACTTATTGATGGTGGCTTAATAATATTTAAAGTTGTTTAGTCTGGTAAGCTTTTGGGGGAGATTTATGAAGAAAGACTATATTTTTTTTTCCTAAATATGTTCCTCTCAGTTAAATAACACGCTCCTTTTATCTGTGGAAAAACTCTCAAACAAAAATCTTCCTAATTAATACAGATAAGTTTATTTATATTATACAGACAAAGCAGGTGGTTGCCTTGAGATTAGTCGGCTCGCAAAACGGGTTGAATATCCAAGTTAATAAAAAAAATATTATATTTTATATATTTTATGTTAAAATGTATAATTCATTAGGTGTGTTTGTATAGATTTTTGTTAGAGAATTTTTCATTTACATCCGAGGTTTGATAATTGATTCCACATATAATTGATTATGATCAAGCGAGATGCCAAATTATACTAGTTTGAAATGCCGTTAAAAAGAACGGGTTTATTTACGAATAGTCATTTCGTCACCGAGCTATACATCAGAGACCAGAGCTTCTAAGTAAATTATTGTCCATTATAGTAAGTTGTAGGACGATGTGAATCATTGTGGACATGATTTCTCAGTAAAATGTTTGTGCAGACATCAGTGTCATGTTCATTGTATCATTCTATAGTCAATAGAAAAATATAGATTTAGCATAAATTCAAGATTTATTTAGCCTACCTGGCTTTTTCATGTCAACTTAGGTGACGTTGATAGAACATGAGAGACGGACATATATGATAACAGAAGGAGCTTTCGGTTGAACAATCGTCTCTCTCGCTTGCATTTGTTTGTTTGTAAGTTAAATCATGATTGTTTTGGAAGTTATCACTTGCTATAACCTTTAGTTTCATTTTGTGATATCCCATTGTTAGGGGTGTTCATTTAAACCGTTCACACCCGCACCAGAAAAACGTGACTTGTAACATCCAAGATGTTATTTGCAATTTGCATTTTTACCAAATTGCACTATGTGGTTCGGTTTGCGGTTTTGAGTTATCAAACCATTGTTCAAAACACCACACTTCATATTTTATATATAGAAAAATTATCAGTTTATATAGTATTTTTGGACTTTGTGTTTTGAACTTTGAGTTTGAAGTTTTTTTTTACTTCTTAGTTTATTTTTAATTTTGCAATACGTATTTGAGAATCAAATGTACTGAAACTCTTTATTTTTTGGGACTACAATCACGTTATTGTTGACAATATAATGCATTTTCAAACTTAGAATTATTGGGTTGTAGGCATAAAGTGCGATGGATACAAACCGCAACACATTTTGGGGGGTGGTTTGCGGTTTGGAAAAACTGCTCAAACCACATATATGTGTGGTTTGTGGTTTGATCCCAAACCGCATTGCAAACACCCCTATCTATTTTCATATAAATAATGGGTGTTTAAGGGACTAACAGTCGTAAAAGCTGATTTGCATAATTTTAATTACAATTATATACATGATTTTTATAATATCATTTTCAGTCTCGGTTTATGATGTTTGCTTTCGCCTCTAACAAGATTGATAGCACTTGTAAAGAGTTAAAAGATACATCTGGACTTGAAAGCAGAAAAAAAAACAGTATGGTAATTATACTATCATTAGAGCTCTTGAAAACAGATAAAATATCTTATTTCTTCAAGTTTGAAAGGTCATCCAAAGTGTTAGAGCATTCTCGCATGAATATATGAATACATCATATATTTTTGGCTAAAAATACATTATTCTCGACTTAAATGGGTATCATGATATTTCTCATTGGTTGCAAGTGATATAATACAGTATGTTTTCTATATAATGTTTGACGTATGGATAACGAGTTAACTCAAAGTTTATGTATCAGTTATGCATCAAATATTTTATAACAACTTAGAGCACCTTAAGTAGATTATCTAAAATAAAGATTTTGGGAATGTTAGGCTAATTATTTTGCTCCAAAACGAAGAAATTAGGAGAGGAGCAGTAAAATTCTCAAATGTTTTTATATGCGATTATGGAACACAATCAACACAAGTTGAGCAATCGACCTGGCCCACGAC